ACTCAATGCCCTCATCCAGATCATTGATAAATAAGTTAAACAGCTGGTGTTCAGGGTCCTGGATGGCACTGGGGGGGGTCCCCAGCCAGCAATGGGATGGCCAGACAAGACGGGATAGCCAGCTTGCATTGGAGGTCCCCAGATAGCATTGGGGGTCCCAGCCAGCACTGGAGTGTTGGGTATCCCAGCTGGTGTTGGGGGACCTGAAACTTGGTTGGAGGTCCCCACCCAGTGTAGGAGTCCCTGCTTGGTTTGAGGATTCCCCAGTCAGCACTGGGGGTCTCCAGTCAGCACTGGGGTGTCCCCAGATGACGTTGGGGTTCCAGCTGACACTGAGGACCCCAGTGGGTGTTGGGCATCCTGGCCAGTGATGGGGGACCCCAAACTTTGCTGGTCCAGGAGTGGGGTCCCCCAAAAAAAACACCAAGGATTGGAGCAGGACCCCTTGGGGCTGAGACCTCCAAGCATCACTGATTTCAGGCAGGGTGTCCACCCCTCACCCAGCAGCCCCATGGGAACCCTTCTGGGAGGGTGTCACACATGTCCCCGTGCCCGGGAGGGGGTGACGGCCGCCCCCATGTCCCGCAGGTGACGGGCAGGTGGACTTCGAGGAGTTCGTGACATTGCTGGGGCCCAAGCTGTCCACCTCAGGCATCCCTGAGAAGTTCCACGGCACCGACTTCGACACCGTCTTCTGGAAGGTAGGGACCCCCTGGGGGGCAGTGCCCCCAGATCCCCACCAAGGGGACTGGGGGGCGGCTCAGGGTCAGGGTTAGGGTCAAGGTTGGGATTTGGGGCAGGGTTAGGCTCAGGTTTAAGGTCAAGGTCAGGGTTGGGGTCAAAGTTGGGTTTAAGGTTAGGATCAGGTCTAGGATCAGGGTCAGGATTAGGGTCAGGGCTGGGGTTGGGGTCAGGGTTGGGATCATTTTAAGGTAGGGTCATGGTCAGGGTTGGGGTCAGGGTTGGGATCTGGTTTAGGGTTAGGGTCAGGGTTAGGGTCAAGGTCAGGATTGTTTTTAGCGTTGGGTTTAAGGTTAGGATCAGGGTCAGGTTTGGGGCTGGGGTCAGGGTTAGAGTTGGTGTAAGGGTTAGGGATGGGGTCAGAGTTGGGCTCATGTTTCAGGTTAGGCTCAGCTTCAGGGTCAAGGTCAGGCTCTGGGTTAGGGTCAAGGTTACACCAGCCCGAAGCGCTTCTGTTCCTGCCTCACATGGGACAGCAGCCGCCCATGGCTGGGCACCCACTGGGTCCCCTTGGAGGTCAGCTGGTCACCAGCCCTTTCCCCACCAAAAACAGGGGGGGACCATCCAAACCGCAGCCTCTGAGGGTGCCGGGCGATCCCCAGCATCCCCCCCACCAGTAGGGTCAGCCCCGCCTGAGCCCCTCACCCACTTCCCGCAGTGCGACATGCAGAAGCTGACGGTGGACGAGCTGAAGCGGCTGCTGTATGACACCTTCTGCGAGCACCTCTCCATGAAGGACATCGAGAACATCATCATGACGGAGGAGGAGAGCCACATGGGCACGGCCGAGGAGTGCCCCGTCGATGTGGAGAGTGAGCCCCGGCTTCTAGGGGAGGATGTGGAGCCAAATTTCCCAGCCCCGACGCCATGGGGATGGCACCAGGTACCTGAGGGGTACTTGGGAGGTGTTGGGGTAACTCAACCTGGGCCTTCTCCTCTCGCAGCCTGCTCCAGCCAGCAGATCCGGCAGACCTGCGTGCGGAAGAGCCTCATCTGCGCCTTCGCCATCGCCTTCATCATCAGCGTGATGCTCATCGCCGCCAACCAGGTGCTGCGCAGCGGCATGAAGTAGTAGGAGCCACCCCGAGCGCCTGCCGCCAGCTCCCGCGGGAGCCGCACCACAGCGGGGAGTGTCGAGATGTGTGTATGTGTATATATATATACACACACACATATATATACCTCAGACACACAAAATCCCCCCCTGGACAGGGGCAGACGTGAGGGGGGACAGCCTGCGATCGCATGGCTGTTTGCAGAACATGGGAACTTTGATAAAGACGCGGACACAAACAAATAAACCCTCTCTCGCCAGAAAAAGAACCTAAAACCAACCCGTAAGTGCATGTAAC